CCGTAGGACTTGGACGTCGAGTGCACCGACACGGTGGCCGCTTCGATGGCGATCACGGTGAGCCCGGCGACCAGGAAGAGGCTGGCAAAGGTCAAGAGGACGATTCGCGATGGCAACTGAGGCTTGGGTCGGCCCGACTCGAGGAAGGGCGCGTAGGTCGGCGGCGTCGCGACGGACTGCCCGTTGTTGTACGACGGATTGGACGTCTTCTCGGGCAGTTCTTGGTCGACCATATTATCCATTCCGACCGGTCGACTGGCAACGCGGTTACGAAATCGGCAACGAACTCACCGGCCGTCGGAAGAGAAAGTTGGAGTCCTGCTCTACGGCGGACTTGTCTCGCACTCGTACTCGCACTCGCACTCGCACTCGCACTCGGATCGGGAGTCGGTAGGTCAGTCGACTTAGCCGAACGGCTGAGCAAGTGGGACTCGGGCGTCGGAATCGGAGTCGGAGTCGGAATCGGAACGTCTCGGGATCGAGTTCGACTGAGGCCAGAGCTAGAGGCAGGCCCGGTTGACGAATGAACACTGTCACGGCTCCATTTGCTCAGGCCAGCCCGCTTGCTACCAGTCAAGGGGGCGGGTGGAGGCCAGCTCAGCCTCGTCGAATGGTACCTTTCCTCACCACTCTGATCCAACCATCTTGCTCCAGATCAATCGGATCAATCAACTCCACTGCAGAAGCTTCATTTAGAGCTCATATCACCCAGATAGACAGATGGATGAACATACAAAGATAGACAGGTGAATGGAAACTAAGATATTTGCATAGCTATGTAGACATATGGACCGATATACATGAGAGGATTGACAAAAGAAAAATAGATAGTGATACAATAAAGAAAGTTAGATAGACAGACATACATATATTGAGAGATTGCTGAATATACGGTTGGATAGATAGACATTTAGCTATACCTACATATGAAAATAGATAGAAATATACATATAAATAGAGAAATGACTAGATAGAAAGACAAGCGTACAGGTATATAGGTTTGGGGCTGGTAAGCCGCCGCAGTTAGTCTGATTGCTTCTGCCCAGGATAAGCACTTTAAAATAGACGGCTTTTCTTAGAGCTAAGCTAAAATAGGCAGCTTGAATGCGCCCGAAATGACGATCCTGAATTGATGGAGGAAAGAGTACACGGCAGAATCGTGAGGCATACCTTTACGGCGGGAAGATTGGAAGGTATGGATGAAGAGGCTTCGGCGAATCTCAGCTTCATTTCAAGCTCTGCCCTTCGAGAAGGGTGTGTTTCATGCTCAGATCGACGAGTTGACAGAGATTGGCGCTCGCCGGAATCGTGCACATTCTGCCATTTGATGTTGTTGGGCTCATTTACATTTCGATTGAAAGTGTGTGGTACAGGGAATCGAAGGTCAATACCGGCCTAAGCCTCTTAATACACTGTCGATTAGGTTGGCTTTACTGAAAGATTCTTGTTAAATCTGCTTATAAACAAAAAATAAGTAATGTAGTCGATTGGAAGAGAAAACAAAACTTTGCATCATCGACATTATCAGCGAACAATGTGATATGGGAAAATGTCTGGCCTTCCTTGAAATTCACATCTGCCCTGTGACCCAAGAACACTCGTGGCAATGTGACTCCCGCTGTAGGTATTGATAAGACCCAGGTGAGGTCGAAATTACAGTCCACCCTGAATGGGAACAACCTATGTGAGATTCAACGGGAACGTCAGCTCTACTCATACCATTGTTTGAAAACTCAACTACAAGTCCTTCACATTAAACGAAATAGGGTGAATGCATCTCATATAAATTTAATAATCTTTTTAATTTAGCTTCCATTTAATTAGCCTTTGTGAATCCGCAAACTAAGGTATACAAACCAATTGGTCGCAAGACCCTTTTGTAAAA